CACACACACGTGTCCCAATAGGTGAACCATTGTTTAAGATCACAGAGTCACTAAGGATAGTTATTCAGGACATCGACATTCAATAGGTAAAGAGCAGAGGCTGGTATTTCAAATAGCCTATCAGAAAGCACCTTTAAAAAGATTACTGAAAAAAATAAAATAATAAAATAGAAAGATTACTGGGGTGGGGGTGGGGAAATGATGGGAGGGAAACTGGGGACACTTGGTGCTGGGAAATGTACACTGTTGGAGGGATGGGTGTTGGAACACGGTATGACTGAAACCCAACATGAACAGCTTTGTAAGGGTCTATCTCACAGTGATTCAATTAAAAAAAAAATCCTTAAAAAGAGAAAAATGTTAAGGTTCCTGCCAGTTTCCTATTCTATTTTTCCCATGCTATCCTTATACTAAAAGACACTAAACAGTCTTATACTATGCTTTCCTGTAAACAGTCTTATTCTGTGCTTTCCTGTAAGCAGTCTTATTCTGTGCATTCCTGTAAACAGTCTTATTCTGTGCTTTTCTGGCACACATTTGCAGCTGGCACTTACTTGTCATCTATTCTTTTCTGCTGTTCTATTCTTTCCCAGGTGCATATTTGCAAACACTCTGCATTCGGAGACCTAAATTATTTTACCAAGGGGCATATTTCATCCTTAGAGATTTTTGTTTGAGGGATGAATTCCCACAGTCTGCTGGCCCTTGGGGAGTGATCCCTGAGTATAGAGCCAGGGGTGAAAGAAAAAAATTTCCTCTCTCTGAGCCTTTTATTAGGAGCCAATGCATAAGAGCAAAGACTGAGAGAATGCATAGTTTCCCTAGTGGAGGCAGCTAATCGATGTATTTATGAATTCAATGAAGTCAGGCATCCACGAGAAAGGAATACCTCACTTAGTCTTTTACAAACTTTAGGAAAGGAAAGCAAGAATCAAGTCCTAAGCAGGGCAAGTCGAAGACTTCCTGAAATCAAAAATGGAAGAAATGACTTAATCCACAGATGATGTTTTTAAGCTCGATGGGCTAGAGTTAGCAAAGATTGCACAAATGTTCTATTGAGGAGCAGACGCTGAAGTACCTAAGTGTGTCACAGGATTCCTTCACAAACCAGGAAAACAGCAGGATGGCTAAATCATAAATCTTTAAGACACAGGGAGCGAGTCTTTATAATTAAGAAAAGTTAGTCTGCATTTTTTTCCTCCATGGCTCTTACCTGCATGCACATATGTAATGGAAAGGTCGTTCCTGGGTATCTTATTAATTTAATTAAAGTTTGCATCATTTTCTTTAACACAAACCTTGGTAAGCTCCTCTTGGAACCTGTCCAGGCAGTGTCGGCCCCCAGGGGGGCTCTTTCTCCATAAGCAGCCTAGTTTCCCCTAGGAGAGATGAGATGTCCTTGAAGAAAGCCGGTGTCCTCCAGGGTTTCGTTTAAAGGTGCACTGATTGGCAAATAATTCCTTTTCTCAAACCTCTCAGGTTTCCAGAAGCAGGGGGTCTCTCCCCTGCCCTGTGGTCATCATATGAGTCCCCTAACCATCAGGCGTCCCCTCGTGCTGATGGGGACGGACACACACTCCTCTAATACGCACTCGTTTCCCAAATCTGCACACTTGCCTCTGAAACACACACACATTCCTGCAGCACACACACAATCCCCCAGAGTGCACACATTGCCCCAACACACACATACACAATACCCCTGCATGCCCACATTCCCTCAGCATGTATATAATCCCCCCGCACGCACACATTGCCAAACACACACCTACATATTCCTCCCAGCACACACACATTCCTCCCAGCACACACACACTTCCCCAGCACACACACTCCCCCAGCACACACACACGCCCCCAGCACACACACAGCTCTTCAGCACCAACACCTCCCAGCCAGGCCTGCTGGCCAATGCCCAGCTTGCGGGAAGGGTCTCTCCTTATTGGAGCCCAGAGCACACAGGGAGCCAGAGGAGGAACTACCGGAAAGAGCACTGAGCGTAGAGCAGTACCCGGCTATTCAAGGCCCAATGAGAGAGGAGGGGCAGAGCCTCTGAAGCAGGTTGGGGCTGAGGGATGGAGGCCAGGGACACTTCACGGCTCCTTCTGGTGCCTGAGGGATATCCTTCTTCCCTCTTGTTGTTCCCTTTTCTGCTCTGTGTTCAACCCAAGGCCACAGCAAGCTCATCAAAGGCCTTTTCTTAGGGCTACTGGCCTAAGGCCATTCTCTTGTGGACTTTTGAGACTCTCTGCTGTGGCCAGACCAATTTACATCCCCACAAGCTCTGCCTGAGGGTCCCTGGGGAGGCCGGGCCTGATGGTCTCCCCGTCTGGGTGACTGGACCTGTCTCAGTGCCACTCACTCCTCATTCTCCCACACCTGTGGAACCGCAGTCATCAGAAGTGCTTCTTAGTTCTTAGAAGGTAATAACAAAGGGGCCAGAGAGATGGCTCAGTGGGTAGGGCACGTGCCTCGCACAGTACCACTGAAATGTAACCTGGGTGTGTGAAGATTTCTGTCACAGTGGCCAGACCCAGTTAGCTAGTACTTGGTGTCTCTGCCTCTTGCACAGGAGAGGATACCTTGGTCGAGGTGAGTGACTAAACCATGCGGATATGGTATGCTGCCTCCTGTGGACCCATGGCGTGGGGAGTTCTGTGTTCCGAAACCCTCTGCTCTCCACACAGCCTCGATTTTATCGCATCACCCTCTCCTCAGTGCCTGGCAAGAGCTGCTTCAGTTTTGCTTCCACGCTGATGCTGTCCCTATCTACACTGTCTCCTTGTTCCACGTGGCCACCATCCCTCTCTGTACCATCTCCCTTATCCACATGTCCCCTGTCCCTCTCTGAACCCTCTCCTTGTTTCACGTGGCCTCTGTCCCTCTCCACACTGTCTCCTTGTTCCACATGGCTGCCATCCCTCTCCACACCATCTCCTTGTTTCTCTGCCACCCTCTGTGGGGATCTTCATCCCTTTTCCTGGTGGCCCCAGCCTGGCTGCATCTCCCGTTCGCTGTAGCCGCCCCTGCTGTGAGTGTGTCCCAGCTCGACAGCCTCCAGGCATATTGCAAATGAGATTTTTGGTTGGTTGGTTTGGGGGCCACACTCAGCAATGCTCAGGGCCTCTTCCCAGCAGTTCCCAGGGAGCCATGGGGTACTGGGGCTTGAACCCATGCCTCCTGCAGGCAAAGCATCTGTTCCAGCTCATTTGAGCCACCCTGAAGGTGAAGTTTTATAGACTGAAAGCCCTCTGCTTGGGTCTCAGGGTGTCATTAGCTCCTCACCCCTGGACCCCCTGGGGCCTGGCACCCTGTTCACATCTATAACCTTAACCTGTACACCCTGGGTGCATGTTATCTTTTACTAAGGAGATCTTTTCTCTCCTGTCTGCATCTGGGGCTGATTTTAAGTAGGACATCGTTTAATTCTTGATTCTGCCTAGACCTCCCATAAGGAGGCATCCTTAGTATCAACCTAAAATCCAAGCTTAGATGTATTTCTGCCCCAGAGAAAGCCCTTGTTTTCATCTATTCCTTCTCCTCCTCCTCCTCCTCCTCCTCCTCCTCCTCCTCCTCCTCCTCCTCCTCCTCCTCCTCCCCCTCCTCCATTTTCTTTGCTGCAAAGGGAAATGTCTCCCCAAATCATCACCCTTTTCGTTTGATCCGAGGACTGCATCTTCAAACAGATAAGGTGGGATTCAGGCTTAAGTTCACCTTCTGATTGTAAGCTGGGGAAGAGGAAGTGAAGCATTAGGAAGCACAGTCATTAGGCGCCAGGAAAGCTCCCATCTGTTCTCCATGAACATCATCTACCACCCAAGACTCACCTCCCGATAATGTCATGTAGGCAAGATGGGTGCGCCCTGCTCCCCGCCACCAACATCTACATCCCTATTTCCCATCTGAATGTATTTCAGGGGAGCGAAGAGACAATACGGTAGGTCTGGTGCTTGCCTAGCATACAGTTGACCTGGGTTCAGTCCCCAGCACGACTTATGGTCCATTGAGCCACACCATGAGTGATCCCTGAGCACAGAGCCAGGAATAAGCCCTGGGCCACCAGATGTGGCCCAGAAAACAAACAAACAAAAAAGTCTTTTAGTCTCTAAGAAATAAGAACATCTTTTTTTTAATGAATCACCATGAGGTACAGTTACAGACTTACAAATTTTCGTGCTTATGTTTCAACCATACAATGATGGAGTACCCATCCCTCCACCAGTGCCCATTCTCCACCACCAATGATCCCAGTATCCCTCCCATCACCCCTACCCCATTCCCCCGCCCCCACCTCTGTGGGCATTCTCTTTTGCTCTCTCCTTTTGAGTGCTGTGGTTTTCAATACAGGTATTAAGTGGCCATCATGTTCAGTCTGTAGTCTAATTTTCAGCACACATCTCCCATCCCAAGTGGGCCCTCCAAGCATCCTTTACTTGGTGGTCCCTTCAAAATGAGAACATCTTTAGAGTGGCTTTCATTAAGTTGTTCAAGACGTCTCAGGATACTCGAAAGCTGTTTTTACATATGCATATCCATCCACACATGCAGAGTTTTAGCACAAGTGAAGGTCCGTTTCCATATTTTCTCATCCAGTGCTGCCGTAGAGGACATGAGTGAGGAAAGCTGATATAACTGTGAATTAAATTGTCTCTGTAAAAAACCTGGGGGACCTTGAAGGGCATCCGTCTCAGAAGCAGCTTCCCTTGGACACAGCTGTTAGATCTTGGGGACAGGGGGAGGAGGGGGGTCCCTGGGGTGGGGCCCCAGTGCTGAGCAGAGGTGGAGGGGGGGTAGTTCTGACTCGTCCTGCTCTCACGGGCAGGCCTTTCTGGGTTACAGCTGGCTTTGGGTGGCTTTGGAGTGTGTTTGAAGTCTTCCCTCTGCACAACTACTAAGCAGAGACAAAAGTCCCTTCCTTGCTCCCTCTGCCTGAATTGGGGCCGTCGTCACGAGAACCCGGGGCTGGCTGTGTGACCCTGTTTGATGCCTCTCTCCTCCAGCTATGACAGTGAAGGGCGCCTCACCAATGTCACCTTCCCAACCGGCGTCGTCACCAACCTCCATGGGGACATGGACAAGGCCATCACGGTGGACCTGGAGTCATCCAGTCACGAAGAGGACGTCAGCATCACTTCCAACTTGTCCTCTATTGATTCCTTCTATACCATGGTTCAAGGTAAACGTGCGGCCATCAGTGACGTGGGGAAAAGATAAAAGGGGGCCCGGATTTTATTTTATTTTATTTTTATTTATTAATTTATTTATTATGAATTTCAGAAGTGTTTTGTTTATTTCTTTGAAGAATGTCATAGGTATCCTAATAGCAGCCCCAGAATTTTTTTTTTAATGGATCACCATGGGGTACAGTTACAGACTTACAAATTTTCATGCTTACGTTTCAGTCATACAATGATGGAGTGCCTATCCCTCCACCAGTTCCCGTTCTCCACCACCAATGTTCCCAGCATCCCTCCCATCCTCCCCCATTCCTGGGGCCCAGATTTTAGTGGATAATGCCCCCCTTTTTCAGATAAGCCAAAGATGAACCTCAAAACTACTTGAGTTGCTGGTGAAATACTCCCAATGTCTCCATGGACTATTTGCTCGTGTTTTTCTTTAAAATCACGTAAAGTCAGCCTGGAGACCCTCAGCCACTCCCCCACCCCCCCACCCTCCCCCATTTAATATAAACCGCCTCATCCCAGCTCTCCATCTGCATCTTCAGACCCTTGTCTTCCTCCATTTTCCAGAACTTGTCATCTTCAAGTGGAGCATTTGAGGGGGCCGGGGGCGGGGAGCCCTCCCTGAAGTCCACGTGTGAGGCAGAATTCGACCTGTTACCCAAATGCCACATGCCTGTTCTGTGATCTCTGAGCTCGCCATCTCTGTCCATTCATCTATTGATGCTGAAACTCCCTGCCATGTGACTTAAGGAGGGAATCTGGGACAGGCTTGTTGGTCACTGGGAGGACCTGGCCCCAAGAATAATTTCTAACTCTGAAACTTCTTAGACTCCAGATTGTTGCTTTTGTGGATACCAGTTAGATCCCGTGACACATCCAGACAGCTGAAACTAGTGTCGCTCAATTCATTTTTTTCCTCCGGGGTGCTGGGAGCTTCAAAAGTGTTTCCTCAAGGTACCTATGGTACGAAGTAGTTGGTGGGTCCAAATTACAGACTGAGTTCCTTTTCTTTATGCCCATTCAGGAGGAAAATTCACCCTTTTTTTGTTTGTTTCGTAATGTAAGTTATGGATATCAACTCTGTCTTAGCTATCTTAAGGAATGATCTAGAAATTGGGGGAGAGGAGGGGCTCTTCTGAGGCCGTAGATGTCAGCCAGCCCTCTGAGTGTGCACCCTGCAAAACATAACACATTTCATAGAACTTGATCTCTGATTTCTTCATTTAAAAATGGAGGTGGCAATAGGAGAGAGAGAACAAAAGGGAATGCCCTGCCACAGAGGCAGGGTGGGATGGGGTGGATGAGGGGTGGGAGGGATACTGGGATCCGTGGTGGTGGGAAATGGTCACTGGTGGAGGGATGGGTATTCAAAATTAATTGATTAATTAATTTTTAAAAATTTTAAAAATTGAGGTGGGGGGGTGTTGAATGAAGAGGAAAGAGAAAGAAAAAGAAGTTCATTGAATGGGAAGACTTAAAATTTAGCCAAACCCTTTTCCAAATGAAATGCTAGAAATAGCTATCTTAATTGCCTTCCAAATAGAGCTCAGGGAATGTTTTAGAAAAGTGTTGCTTTTGGAGCTAGAGCAATAGTACAGTGGGTAGGGCATTTGCCTTGCACATGGCCAACCCACATTCAATACCCAGCATCCCATATGGTCCTCCAAAAACCGCCAGGAGTGATTCCTGAGTGCAGAGCCAGGAGTAACCCCTGTGCACCACCAGGTGTGACCCAAAAAGAAAAAAAAAGTGTTGGTTTTATTTCTTTTATTGAGGGACCCCGGGCTTCCATGAGTATAAATGCTGATAGGATTTAGGGGTGCAGTGCTACTCCACACCTACCACCAATATCTGTGACCATTATCCACGCCCCCTGTGTGACAGCCACCCCCAGGCCCAACTTCCTTCTCTCTGCGTTCATTTTTCCAGATCAGTTAAGAAACAGCTACCAGATCGGTTACGACGGCTCCCTGAGAATCATCTATGCCAGTGGGCTGGACTCTCACTACCAAACCGAGCCCCACGTGCTGGCCGGCACTGCCAACCCCACTGTGGCCAAACGGAACATGACGCTCCCCGGTGAGAATGGGCAGAACCTGGTGGAGTGGAGGTTCCGCAAGGAGCAGGCCCAGGGGAAGGTCAATGTCTTCGGACGCAAACTCAGGGTGAGTCGGGGTTCCCAGAGAGTGTGTCTGCGGGGTCGGGTTAAAGATAAATCCTCCCCTGGGAACTGCATGTCAAAGACCCCACATCCCCCTCCCCTGCATATTCCAGGACTCTTGCTTGACTGTTCCCTTACTAGGAGCTGTCCACTTTCCTTTCCCTGCTTGATTAGGAGCCCCTGAGGCGGGCAGGGGAGGCTCTGGGAACTGGTTTAACACCCGAGTCATAAGTAGGAAAGTCATAAGTCTGAAAGTAAAATGGGTTGGCCATGTCTTTGCAGTCTCTGTAACTGTATTTGTCAAATAACCATTCTGGGTTCTTGAAAGGAAAAAGACAAAAACCATTTCAGAATCTAACTTTTATCTCTTCTCCTCAAATGGGAAACTCACACAAGTGATGTATTTTAGGGAGAGGGATGTGTGTGTATGTGTGTGTTTGTGTGTGTGTCTGTGTGTGTCAGTGTCTGTGTCTGCGTGTCTGTGTGTCTGTGTCTGTCTGTCTGTGTTTCTTCCTCTTCCACCCTGTATTTACAAGCTCTTTGGTAAAGGGGACATAAATCAAGCCCTAAGGCACAGGTTACAAGAACCCACTCAGAGCACTGTAGGTGGAACATGATTCATTCTTTGTATTAGTAAATAGACTTTAGTTTCTTCAGATAAATGTAAGTGTGGTTAACAGCATTTCCCTTACCATGCTCCCCTCAAATTTTTTTTTTTGCTTAAAGTCAAGAGAACCAAAAATGTAACAATCCCAACTTTGTTCTGCACCCTTGATTCTCCACACGCCCTAGAGTCGAGGTCCAGTTATGAGGACAGGTCCACATATGCGCCTTGATGACCTCTCAGGGTAACAGATAACTCTACTATGCTTTGGCCTTTTCAAAATTCTAGAAATGTCAAGCACTTGGCCAACCCAGATTCGATCCCCGGCATCCCCATGATCCCACAAGGTCACCAGGAGTGATTCCTGAGTGTGGAGCCAGGAATAACGCCCTGAGCCTTGCTGTTGTTTGTTGCACTACAACTAATATGGCATGGCAGCTAGTGGTTTCATTTCCCTAGTGACATGCCTAGGGACCACTGGGTGGTCACGTAGTTCTGTTTTTAATCCTTTGAGGAAACTCCATCCTCTCTTCCATAACGGTAAACCAGCTTATACTCCCACTAGTAATATTCAAGAGTGCCTCTGTGCTCGCCCCATACCTGCTACTTTGCAGGGTTTTGATACTAGTTCTTCTTGTAGAGGAAAAGTGTTATCTCAGTGTCATTTTGACTTGTGCCCCTAACATTTAGTGATGTTGAGCATCTTTTTTTCATGTTCCTATTAGTCATTGTTTTTTTTTTCTTTTTGGGTCACACCCAGCGACGCTCAGGGGTTACTCCTGGCTCTGCACTCAGGAATTACTCCTGGTGGTGCTCGGGGGACCATATGGGATGCTGAGAATCAAACTTCGGCTGGCCGCATGCAAGGCAAACACCCTACCCGCTGTGCTATCACTCCAGTCCCAGCCATTGTTTCTCAAATGAATCATTTGGGTTTTTTGCAGTTGAATTGTGCAGGTTCTTCTCATATGTTGAACATTTACCCATTAACCACATACACATGTGCCCGATGTTTCCTTCTATTTAGTAGACTCTCTTTTTAGTCTGTTCATGGTTTCTTTTGCTGTCAGAAGCTTTTGGCTTTGACACTAGTCGCACCTATTTTGCTTTTGTTCTTAACTAAGAAAGAAGCAACCCTTTATTATCAACCTAAAAATTAAGGTACTGGCTATTCACATTTTCTTCCAGTTGTTTTCAAGGTCTGTATCCACATTCTCACCTGTTTTGACTTAGTTTTTGTATCTGGTTCAACAACAATGCGCCAGCTTCATATATGCCCAGGATTAGAATAGAAAGAGCTACAGATGAATCTGGAAACATGGAAGGCATTTCCTGAGAAACAGTGAATTAAGGGGCAAAGAGGTATACAAAATAATAATCAGAAACTTAAATCTTAGTGGAGGGCACAGTCAAAGACAATTGCATGCATCATCATTGTTCATCTTTGTTTTGTGATAGCTGTTTAAAAATTCCTTATTTTTATCAGTGCTGGGAACCAGCCTCTAATTGGTAAGAAGAAAAATATATAACAGGGAAGATGTTCTAATAATAAAATTCATCAGCTGAGTTTTCCCAGATTTCAGATGCTTCAAGGCAAACTGAGTAATGTTCAAAAGAAATTGTCCAAGTTTTAAAAAGCAAAAGGGGATCTGGAGTGATAGCACAGCGGGTAGGGTGTTTGCCTTGCATGCGGTCGACCCGGGTTTGATTCCCAGCATCCCATATGGTCCCCTGAGCACCACCAGGAGTAATTCCTGAGTGTACAGCCAGGAGTAACTCCTGTGCATTGCTGAGTGTGACCCAAAAAGAAAAAAAAGGGGGGGTTTGAAAGACCCCATGTCTGTGGTCACATCTTTTTTTTTAAAAAATAAATTACTGTGAGATACAGTTACACTTACAGACTTTTGTGATTACATTTCAGTTGTACAGTGATCGAGCACCCATCCCTCCACCAGTGTCCATTCTTTACCACCAATGTTCCCAGTATCCCTCCTGCCACCCCCACCTCTTCCCACCCCCTGCCTCTGTAGCAGGCACCTCCCCCCTCTTGCTTTCTCTCTCTCTCCTTCCGGGTGTTATGGTTTGCAATACGGGTATAAGCAGCCATCATGTTCGGTCCATAGTCTACTTTCAGCACACATCTCCCATCCTGAGCGATCCCTCCAACCATCATTGACTTAGTGGTCCCTTCTCCATCCCATCTGCCTTTTCCCTCCAGCACATGAGACTGGCTTCCAAGCCATGGAACGATCGCCCTGGCCTTTATCTCTACTGTCCTTAGGTATTAGTCTCCCATTCTGTTACCTTATATTCCACAAATAAGTGCAGTCATTCTATGCCTATCCCTCTATCTCTGGCTCATTTCACTTAGTATGATGCTCTCCATGTCCATGCACTGTATGCAAATTTCATGATTCCATCTTTCCTAACAGCCGCATAGTATTCATCTGTGTGGCTCGTTATGCAGCTCATGTCAGCGTGGCGGCCCATTTCCCTCTGCCATCTGTGGCGGGAAGCCCCGAGTGGCCTGATCCAGTGCAGTAGGCATAGGCAGGCATGTAGCAGCATGACTTCACGATCTGCAGAAAGTCAGTGGTCTGACGGGCACAGATGGAACTTGGGAGATTGTCCCCAGGCATCCTGGAGATCTGGCCAGCCGTGCTCCTTCCGGAGCTTCCCCTGAGAGTGAAGATAATCCCGTTGTGCTTTGTGCCACACAGAGGCGTCACTGAGTATGTTTCTGCTTTAGATTCTGGAGCATTCCAAACCCAAGTGGTAATGGACCCCTCCTGCCACCAGGATGCGTGATTCATTGCTGTCCCGTTGGACGCCATCTCTGAAAGTGGGGGCTTCCGTGTTTGCTTCTGAGGAGGCCTGTGCCACACCCTCAGTGGGGCTTGAGGGGCTCATCTCTGATCCACACCCCTGAGTTTATTCAGATAGAGCTAGAGGGAACGTAATGATCTCGTGTTCATTGATGGGTTTGGGGGTCTTTCTGGTGGTGAGTTGTCTAGGGCAGTGGCTCGGGATCTACTCTTGGCTCAGTGGATCAATCCCTGCAGGCCTCAGGAGACCATGTGAGAATCAAACCCGGGCCTCCTGCATGCTGCATGCAAAGCAAGTTCTCGGCTCTCTCTTTGACCCTGATCTGGTAGTTTTTTATAAGGAATTTTATCTATTTGAAAGTGACTGGTGTGCAATAATGCTGGTGCTTTATGATTCTTACCCAGAAAAATAATGATGATGGTTAGGATCATAAAGGTTGTTCCGTGGGTTCTATCCCAGGCTACACCTGGCCCCGGCACCTCTGGGCAGGACCCCTGAGCTCAATGTCCAGGAGAGAGATGAGGTCCCGTTTGCTAGCGTTGGTGGACAGCGTTGGAAGGGAAGTGTGGGAGGAGATAGAAAAACCAAAGCTCTGTTGGTCTCTTGGGACATTCCGTGTGCTGCATCGTGGCAGCCGGGGGGTCTTGGAACAGGAAGAAGGAGCAGGTCGAGCCCCGTGTCAGAGAGAACCATGTGCATCCCTGATCCTTTCCTCGTCGCTTGGGTTCAAGGCGGCAAGAAGGGAAGGCCTCGTCCTCAGTGACTACTGTGACATGGAACAGGGACGTTGGCACAGGAGGCCAGATGTTTGGCCTCCCCCAGCTTCCAGATGTTCTCATGTGGCCACCGGTGTCTGCGGTGACTCAGACGGCAGGATTGATGTGTGTGGTTTTCACATGGTCCAGCAGCTGCCTTGTGGTCCTATAGCTGCCTTCACAAGCTGAGCCCCCCCCCCCCCCCAGGAAGGGCCCAGGGGTGCTGGGTACAGATCCTGAAAAAGAAGTTCCTCGCCTGCCTTTCTGCCATTTCCCCTTGACTCCCCAAATAATTAGGTCCCTCTGCCATCCAGATTTTTCCTGCTCTTCCCAGAAGAAGGGTGGGGGGAGAGAGCAAGAGCAGAGAGAGCTGGGAGCAGAGAGAGCACTGGGGCGGGGGAAGGAGAGAGAGAAAGGGAGAGAGAGTGTGTGTGAGAGAGAGGGGGAGGGAAGGGAGAGCAGAGAGAGGAAGAGAGATAGGGAGAGTATGAGAGAGGGAGGGAGAGGGTGGAGAGGAGGAAAAAGAGGGAGAGAGAGAGAGAGAGCTGGATGAAGCTGGAAGGGCAGCTGAGAAATGCAAATTCAGAGTGAGTGAATGCAGAGTGCAATGCCAGCAGGTGGGCTGACTAAGCCACACAGACCTTGGCAGTACCACCCTGCCTGGCACCTGCTCAGAGCTTAGAAGCACAGGGTAAACCTAAATGTTCAGTGGCATCATATTCTCTCCCCCGCTGCCCCCCCCCCCCCACACACACACATGTGAGCACGCCTTTAAATCACATTCTGAGAAACACAAGCGCTCTGGAAGTCCATTCGAACTGCATAAAGACCAGAGAGACAGTGCAGGGGGTAAGGTGCTAGCCTTACATGTGCCTGACCCCAGTTAGATGCCCGGTATTACACAGGTTCTCCGAGCCCCGCCAGGAGTGATTCCTGAGCACAGAGCCAGGAGTAAATCCTGAGCACCACTGGCTGTAGCCCCCAAACCTCAAAAAAAAAAATGTGCAATGTCTTCTTCAGACACCAAGAGTGTCTCACAAATGGAAGCCGCGGGCCTGGAGACCTCCCGTCCTGTGTGGGGTCCATTCACCCCAGCTTCTGTCTTTCTGCAGGCCTTTCAGACACAGGGCGGTGGTGTGGGCTGGTTAGCACCTTCCCAAGGTGGCAGGGCCTCCAGCAAACCTGCACTCATCGAGTTTCACCAAATGCCCCTCAGAGGAGGCAGCAGCTCGCCCGCAGGAAGTGGAAGCAGAGAAGCCTCCAGCTGCCTGCTCGGAGCTCAATGAGAGCCGCTGCAAGTTTGCGGATGGATGAGGCAGGTTCCCACGCTCGGCCAGCCCCACCTTGCTGCTTCGAGATCCAGCCAGGATGCAGCTCAGCAGTTGAGGCCAGAGTCTATACCCCCAGCAGGCCCACACATGGGCACCACGCATGCCCCGTACACACCCGTATTGCCCACACCACAGTACATGTGCAACCACACACCCACACCATACACACACAGCTACAACACATACCACAAACACATACACACACACACACACACACACACACACACACACACACACACACACCCCACTTTCCAGCCCTGGAATGGTGTGGGTTGTTTCCCCCACACCAGCTGGGTCTGAGGCCATGCCTCAGTCAATAACTTCTTAGCTAAAAGAACTTAAGGGCTCAGCAGTGCTTAAATTCCTACCTTTCCGTGTGAGTCTGAAATGGTGTGTGTGTGTGTGTGTGTGTGTGTGTGTGTGTGTGTGTGTGTATGAGAGAGAGAGACAGAGAGACGGGGGTGGGGAGGTTATAAGTAATCAGACCTCTTCGTTTTGAAGGTTCCCACTGAAGGACATAGCCATGTTTCATTTTTGGTTTTGGACCACATCCAGATGTGCTCCGGGCTTGCCTCTGGCTCTCTTTTCAGGGCTTACTCCTGGCGAAGCTTGGGGGACCCTATGGGATGCTGGGGACCAAACCTGGGTCAGCTGCATGCAAGACCAAGCTCCCTACCTGCTTTCCTATGGCTCCAGCCCCCAACTACATTGAAACTTTCTTTCCTTGCAGTCCTGGGGATCAAGCCCAGGCTGTCACAACACATAAGGCCTGGGAGCTCCCACTAAACCCCAGCCCTGTGGGGAATTTCTCCCACCCCAGGGGCCGAAGAAAGAGTCTGGGAGTTAGGAGCTCACTGGCCTTGCACACTGTCTTGTCCTCTGCAGCACCTGCGCCCCCAAGCATGGCCCACTGGGGGTGGCCGCGCAGGCTTCCAGCTCTGCTGGGCTAGCCCGGGCCCCAGCTACTCCGTAGCCCCGAGCTGCCAGCCCAGTTGGTGGAGAATTTCCACGAGGGACCCGAGGGCCTCCTGAGCTTTGCCCAGGAGCCCCTCCCCCCCCCCCCCCCACACACACACTCACACTTTGCAGTTCTGCTAGTTAACAAGCTTGTTGGTCTATTCCAGCTGGGGACTGTGGTCTGGCTTACAAGGGTCCCTATACCATAGAGAAGAGTCACCAACACTTGCTGTGTGTGCCTTGGCCCCCCGCCAGACCTCCCCCTGTGCAGTCCCCCATGCTGGATGTGCCCCAAGCCAGGGCAGCCCTTACAGAAGCCCGATGCCCCTGCTTCTCTGCTGGGCACCCGGGCCAGGCTAGTTAACCAGGCGACAGCTGAGGGGGGCAGGCAGCTGGGGAAATGGCTCCGTTTCAGCCCCGGGCTTAAAAGCAGGGTTGGTGTTTGTAACCTCCAGCTATTTAAGCCCATTAATAATTCACGCTAATGTGGGGTCCACCTTCTCCTTAACTGCTCTTCAAAGGGGCTCGTTGCACTTAGCGCCTTTCTCTTTAATGGCCCCGTGATTAATCCGATCAGTGGTTATTTTGCAAGGTCTGGTTGGGGGAGGGGCTCTGAGCACTTTGCGGGGACCTATTGGCCGCCTCCTGGGCTTCTCCCCAAACCTGCAGGCAGATCCCTTTTGGAATTCCTTTTCTATTTTTCATTTTTTCCTGATCCATGGACTTTGGTTTCCAAAATTTAATTGCAAAGGTTTTGAAGTTGTGCCAGGTGGGTCTTTCTGCTTAATGAAACCTTTGGAAAGTGCAGTTGATCTACCGCCTTGCGCTTGTACCCAAGAAGTTGCTAAATTAATTTGCTGACAAGGAGAATCCATCATCCTAAGTGGGGAGAGACGATAGTGGGGTGGGGAGGGGTGCAAGAGAGGCGTGAGGGGCCTCTCTCGAGCCCCTAACGGGCCTCATCTCGGCCACGGGTGGCTGTCCTCACAGGTGAATGGCCGGAACCTGCTTTCTGTCGACTTCGATCGTACCACCAAGACGGAAAAGATCTACGATGACCACCGGAAGTTCCTCCTGAGGATCGCCTATGACACGTCGGGACACCCGACACTCTGGCTGCCGAGCAGCAAGCTGATGGCCGTCAACGTCACCTACTCCTCCACGGGCCAGATCGCCAGCATCCAGCGGGGCACCACCAGCGAGAAAGTCGACTACGACAGCCAGGGCAGAATCGTGTCTCGGGTCTTCGCCGATGGCAAGACGTGGAGCTACACTTACCTGGAGAAGGTGAGCCAGGCTCGCTCGGGGTAGAGCAGGGGGCGTGAGGGCTGGCAGGGCAGAAGGTGCTTGCCGAGCCAGGGCTGATACCTCATACCGTCGGTGGTCCCTTGCACAGACCGGAGGCCACCCCCAAACACAGAGAAGGTGCCCCCCTATTACTGGCTGAGTGTGACTTCCTCCCCACCCCCCAACAAACATACACACACACACACTCTCACACATACACACACACACACCAAGAAATAAGGAAGCCATCCTCTGGTTTCTCTCCAGATTGTATGACTCTCTGCATGGGGAAGGTAAGAGTAAGGAAATGGTAACACCTTCAGCCATCACAGCGACTCCCACAGAGTGAAGGAGGAATAAGAGGAGGAGGGGGAGGGGGAGGAGGAGGAGGAGGAGGAGGAGGAGGAGGAAGGGAGGAGGAGGAGTAGGAGGAGGGAGAGGAGAAGGAGGAGGGGGGAGGAGGGGGAGAGGGAGGAGGCAGAGGCGTGTGAGCAAGCTCCATTTGTTCTCGGAGTTCTGATCCGAGGAAGAGGAGGAAGAGGAGTGGAGGAGGAGGAGGAGGAGGAAGAGGAGGAGGAGGAGGAGGAGGAGGCAGAGGCGTGTGAGCGAGCTCCATTTGTTCTCGGAGTTCTGATCCGTCAGGCCCTGATGATGAATTCCTGCATTAGCAAGGAGTGTCTCCTTAGTCAAATTCTTCTCTCTGAGACCCTGTGCCGCAAAGGATGCTGGGAACAAATGGGGAGTGACCGCTGTCCACCTGCCGTTAGTTCACGATCACAAGTGCAGATGCCCTCGTCTGTGGTCAGTGAGGGATTTCCCATCCAGCTCTAGCGCTTCAGAAAGAGCCCACCCAGCCTGGCAGGGTGGGGTGGGGTTGGGAGGGGAGGTAGGGGTCCCCGGGGTCGAATGAACTCGGAAAAGCCTGGTGGTCCTGCAGGAGTGACCTGGAAGGTGTTTTTCTCACTGTAGCTATGCTTTGGCTTCAACTCCTTTCTTCCACCTGCCGCTTCCCATGCCCCATGCTTCAGAACACTACACAGGACAGGAGATAGCACAGACTCGGGTTCTATTCCCGGCCCCACAGGGTCCCTAGAGCATCGACAAGTCAGCCTTGGAGACCCCCAGCACTATGGGGCCTGGCCCACCTCCTCGGATCCTTGGATTAAGCCATCTGCCCAACTGGGCTGAGAGTCCCCAGTGGAGGGTCCCCCAAATCTCCCGAGTAGCACCTCCTAAAAAAAATATTAAAAAAATATTTTTGCTTTTTGGATCACACCCGGTGATGCACAGGGGTTACTCCTGGCGGTGCTTGGGGGACCATATGGGATGCTGGGAATCGGACCCAGATTGGCCACATGTAAGGCAAATAAATTTCCTACCCGCTATGCTATGGCTCCAGCCCCTATTAAAATTTTTTTAAAAATAAAACCTACCCAGCACAGAAAGAGCTGGAACTGCTCCACCCTTGTGCCACCCCAGCCTTTCTCAGTGTCTCGCCCAGATCCCCAAATTGGCCAAGGGGGCTGGAGCCCAGGCAGTGCATGCCGGGAGCTGTACAGCGTGACATGGTCCCCAGCCTCCTGCCCAGGGTGACAATCTCTCCCCACCCAGCACTGCCAGGCATGACCCAAAAATAACTCAGGTGGACCTGCCAGCCTACCCTGAGAACTTCCAGGGCCTAGGCGCCCCATCCCACCTGGTTCATCCCTAGATTCCTTGGAAGCTTTGCTTATCTAGCTGCAGGGCTGACCTAACATTTGTGGGGGTCAGCCTAGTAACAAAACATCTCTCCCGCGTCTCCTGCAAGCAGGGCTTGTTGCTGGGGGCAAAGGACAAGGGGGCATGTTTGGGTTTTTGGTTTTTTTTCTCCACTTCTTAGCTTCATCATCCTTAAGTACTAAGCATAGTAGGTAGCCCAGAAGCCAGTCTGAGAGCTCTTCGGGCCCTAATCAGATTCAGGGTTCACCGAAGGAAATATTTCTTTTAAGTAGGTTTATCATTACAGATGCCAGGGGAAATTTTTTAATAAAAGAAAACCCTCTGCCAGACCTGCATTTCCTTTAAGGGCATTTGCAACTCTTCCTCCCCAGGTGTTGGTTGGTTCAGCCCTGTCACTTGATGCAGAGGCTCGACACCCCCCCTTGACCCCGTTTCATGTCTCCCCCTAATAAAGCAGTGAATGCTGAGCTCCTCCCCTGCAGTGCTCTGGAAGTGCAATCATGATGTGTGGGGATCTCGTATCAAATGAGGAGGAGAACAACCAGAGGTGGAGGAGGAGGGTGTGGGGAGCCACGTGGCTGAATCATTGCTAATTATGGCTGGGTTTGCGTTTCCCATATGCTGTTTTCTCCCTGAAATACCGTCTTTGAGGTAACTTTGCTTGAACCCATTGCTGGCTGATCTCCCACACACACACACCCTAGTCTGCTGAATGCCTGAAAAAAGGGGACAGGGCATGACAAGATAGCTCGGCGGGACTTTGAGCATCATGGTATGGCCTCTCCCCATTGGTCGCCCCCACAGACTGGGCCAGGAATTGCCTCTCTGTGGAACCAAGGAGAGTGTCTGGGTCCAAGAGGTAGCACAGCGGGTCGGAGAGTGGCCTTGCTCATGGCAAACCTGACTCCCACCCCCATCACCCCAGATGGTCTCCTGAGACAGTGAGGAGTGAGCCCTACCAGGTGTGACACCCCAGCCAACATCTCCCTCTGCAAAAAAAATACCCAGCACAGGGCTGGAGAGATAGTACAGCAGGTAGGACGTTTGCCTTGCACGTAGCCAACCCGGGTTTGATTCCCAGCCTCCCTGAGCACCTCCAGGAGTAATTCCTGAGTTGCAAAGCCAGGAGTAGCCCCTGAGCATCGCTAGATGTAACCCAAAAAGGAAAAAAAAAAATACCCAACAAGGTCAAAATGAAAAATACCTTCTCCGACATCACATTTTCACCTCTTCATGGTCGGGAGATAAGTGCTGGGTTTTTTTTGTTTTGTTTTGTTTTGTTTTTTCACTTCTTAGCTTCGTTGTCTGTCCTTAAGGACTAATCATAGTAGGTAGCCCAGAAGCCATTCTGAGAGCTCATCAGGCCCTAATCAGATTCAAGGGTCACCTAAGAAAATATTTCTTTTAAGTAGGTTTATCATTACAGATGCCAGGGAGAATTTTTGTTGTTGTTGTTTAAAGAAAACAAGAAAATAAAAACCTCCTCCAGGCCTGCGTTTCCTTTAAGGGCATTTGCGACTCACTGACCGACCCAAACTATGGGTGACTGTTGTCTCTCTCTCTCTCCCTCACCATCCCCCTCCCACAGTCCATGGTGCTGCTGCTGCACAGCCAGCGGCAGTACATCTTCGAGTACGACATGTGGGACCGGCTGTCAGCCATCACCATGCCCAGCGTGGCCCGCCACACCATGCAGACCATTCGCTCCATCGGCTACTACCGCAACATCTACAACCCGCCTGAGAGCAACGCCTCAGTCATCACCGATTACAGTGAGGAGGGGTTGCTCCTGCAGACGGCCTTCCTGGGCACCAGCCGCCGCGTCCTGTTCAAGTACCGCCGGCAGACGCGGCTGGCAGAGATCCTGTATGACAGCACACGAGTCAGCTTCACCTACGATGAGACGGCGGGCGTCCTGAAGACCGTCAACCTGCAGAGCGACGGCTTCATCTGCACCATCCGCTACCGCCAGATCGGGCCACTCATCGACCGCCAGATCTTCCGCTTCAGCGAGGACGGCATGGTCAACGCCCGGTTCGACTACAGCTACGACAACAGCTTCCGGGTGACCAGCATGCAGGGGGTCATCAACGAGACACCGCTGCCCATTGACCTCTACCAGTTCGATGACATCTCCGGCAAGGTGGAGCAGTTCGGCAAGTTCGGCGTCATCTACTACGACATCAACCAGATCATCTCCACGGCCGTCATGACCTACACCAAGCACTTCGACGCGCACGGCCGCATCAAGGAGATCCAGTACGAGATCTTCCGCTCACTCATGTACTGGATCACTGTCCAGTACGACAACATGGGGCGCGTCACCAAGCGGGAGATCAAGATCGGGCCCTTCGCCAACACCACCAAGTACGCCTACGAATACGATGTGGACGGGCAGCTGCAGACTGTGTACCTGAACGAGAAGATCATGTGGCGGTACAACTACGACCTCAACGGGAACCTCCACCTGCTCAACCCCAGCAGCAGCGCCCGGCTCACCCCACTGCGCTACGACCTGCGCGACAGGATCACACGGCTGGGCGATGTGCAGTACCGATTGGACGAGGATGGGTTCCTGCGGCAGCGGGGCACCGAGATCTTCGAGTACAGCTCCAAAGGCCTCCTGACACGTGTGTACAGCAAAGGCAGCGGCTGGACCGTGGTCTACCGCTACGACGGCCTGGGGAGACGCGTGTCCAGCAAGACCAGCCTGGGCCAGCACCTGCAGTTCTTCTACGCCGACCTGACCTACCCCACGCGCATCACACATGTGTACAACCACTCGAGCTCCGAGATCACCTCGCTCTACTATGACCTCCAGGGCCACCTCTTTGCCATGGAGATCAGCAGTGGGGATGAGTTCTACATCGCCTCCGACAACACGGGCACCCCCCTGGCTGTCTTCAGCAGCAATGGGCTGATGCTCAAGCAGATCCAGTACACAGCCTACGGTGAGATCTACTTCGACTCCAACATCGACTTCCAGCTGGTGATTGGCTTCCATGGCGGCTTGTACGACCCCCTCACCAAACTCATCCACTTTGGCGAGAGGGACTACGACATTCTGGCAGGACGATGGACCACACCAGACATAGAAATGTGGAAACGAATCGGGAAGGACCCGGCTCCCTTCAACCTCTACATGTTTCGCAACAACAACCCCGCCAGCAAGATCCATGATGTCAAAGACTACATCACAGGTAAGCAGGATGTTCTGCTCACTGCTGAACCCCCACTCATGACTCATGTTGTTTGCTTAGACTTTGCCAACCTTTCTACCCTCACCCCACCCCACCCCCATGTTTCCTTGGGGACTCAGGCACCCCTTTTTCCCAGCTGCCAGCACCCAGTTCTCAGCAATGACATGCAACCTCATCACTGAAGGGAATCTAACTCGTGTGGCTTTGCAGCCTCAGCTCCCAACCCACATGGCTGTATAGAGGGGTCCCGTCCTTTATTAGACAGGGGGGCAGCAGTGTCGGCCTTCTGCACAAAGTACCACAACTTCCACTTTGCTGATGCTTGTCTTGATGCCAGGGAGATCCTCACAGAGGAATCAACGTGACCCTATAACTGCCCCTATAACTGCCAAGGCTTGTCCCCAGCAAGGGGGGCTGCAGGGCCCTGCCTTCCCTGTCCCCATGCCCCAGCTCAGCCCCTGCACTCTGGGTATGCACTCACAGCCCTCCTCATCCTCCCTCTGCTGTCCTGGTTACCAGCCAGTGCTCCCTAGCCGACTTCCTCTGACGGTGAGAATTCCACCAGCAGATCCACTTCCGTGGCCACGAAGGTCTGCAGGTGACCATGGTCCCTGCCGGCAGCTCCCTTCTTCCCTTGGCAAGCCTTCGGCTTCATTCCCCCCTCCGCCCCCCCCCCACCCCCCCGCTTCCGTCACTCCCATCAGGAACCTCTCCACCACGCAGGGGTTTCCTCGAGGAAGCTTCCTTCCCTGGAGTCTTTTCCTCATCTTTTTGTCTGGAGTTTGGTTTGGTATGGATTGGGTTGTTTTTTTTTTTCTCCCAGGCAGCTTTGGGCAGTGTCTCCCCACTGGCCCACTGCGATGAAGTCTGTTTCCTCAGGTCTCAGACCAGCTCAGGAGCTGCTTAAACAGCCGGTACCCTCACGGTCTCCCAGCCTCCTGGTTTTTCCAGCTTTCCTCTCCAGGAACCAGGCAGGGCGCCCTCCCCTGGAGCCCCTTTAGAGAGCCTCCCTCAACTTCTGGCTAGCTGGCTCCATTGCAGCCAAGCCTCCCTGCGCTAGGGCTAATACTTTTGCTTTCTTTTGTTACTGTTGTTTTGTTTGGGGGCCACCCTGGCATTGCTCAGGGCTCTGCACTCAGGGATCACTCCTGGCAGGTTCTGGGGTCCATATGGGGTACCAGGGCTCAAACTCGGGTCAGCCTCTTATCAGTGCCTTACCTGCTGTATCACTCCAGCCCCTCTGGCTAATACTTTTTTTTTAATTGAATCACCAGGAAATACACAGTTAGACAGTTACAAGGTTGTTCATGATTGAGCTTCAGTCATGCAATGTTCCAACACCCTTCACCAGTGCGCATTTCCCACCACCAATGGCCCCAGCTTCCCTCCCACCCCACCCCCAAGCCTGCCTCTATGGCAGACAGGTTCCTTCTCTCTTTTTTTCCCCATTTCTTCTCTTAGGCACTGTGGTTTGCACACCTGTTACTGAAGTTATCATGCATAGCACTTTTCTTCCTTTCAACACCCATTTCTTGTCCAGAGGGATCACTCTCAGCTACCATTGTCATAATGGTCACTTCTCTGTCCTAACTGCGCTTCACCGCCCTATGACAAGCTTCCTACCATGGACCTGTCCTCCTAGCCTCGTTTCTATTGTCTTTGAGTAGTATTCTCATACTAATTTGTTTTTACATATATCCCATGTATGAGTTCATTCTTTCTCCCTCTGACTCGTTTCACTTGGTATGATACCCTTCGTGTCAAACTTGGCTAAGACCCTCTGAAAAGTGAGATGGGGGGAAAGGACCCTCTGGTTTCACAGTTGCATACACTTTATTCCTGGTAAGAGAACCTTTACCCCCAGTAATCCACCATTCGGGAGAAAGCATTTCCTAGTTTAAAAAAAAAAATCAATCGGACCCTCTCATATATTCTCACCAAAAAGAAAAAGGGAAATCAGGATTTCTCTCTGACCATCTCCAGCCGCCTCTTTTTGGAAGAGGGATCTACCCCCCTGACTTTTCTAGGTCTTTCTAGCCAGAGGAGGCCAGGACAAAGGCCCCGCACAGCGGTGATGAGGTGAGAGTTTGTGCCCCAGAGAAGGAAATGGGAAGCAAGAGGTTTTCCATCATTCTGACAAGTGGTTTACTGCTGCTTATGGAAGAGGTGTTGACAGGGGCTGCCAGAAAGGCTGGCGCAGCCCCCCCGCTCCTGGCTCCCCCTCGCCTAGCAACTTGGGCTGCAGGGAATGCCGGAGCAGCACTTTCTGAAAAGCATCGAGAGAGAAAGAGAAAGAGAGAGAGAGAGATGGAACAGCATAAAATATATTAGGTGAAATTCAATTTCAAATTTTCCAGCAATGTGCTTAATATATAAAATAATCTACACCCAACTGGACTCATAAAACGGCCAGCCTGCTGAGTAGCTCTGGAACATTATAACCTTCCAGAACAGAATAAAAGCCCAACTCGGAGCTTCATGGCTTTCGGAGTCACATGACCATCATGGAAAATGCCACTGTAACCGGTTCCAAGTTCTCCATGTCCCCCAAAATAAAAGTTTGCCTCCACCTGTGCGCAGAGGGGCTGCCTTTGAAGTCCTGACTGGGGCTAACTGGGGGCTCCCATGCCCCCTGGCCAGTTTTGCCAGGTCTTGGCATTGGGCTTTGATTAAGAATCAGCTGTTGATGTGAATACACCCAGATTTGGGGGAACGAGGCTATTAACAGAAAATGGGTTGTGGAAACCCACATGCCCTTGGGTGATCAGTTTTGAAAGCTAATAACATATTTCTGGTTTTGTTTTTTTGTTCTTTGCTTTTTTGCTTTTTGGGTCACACCCAGCAATGCACAGGGGTTACTCCTGTCTCAGGTACTCGGGAATTATTCCTGGCAGTGCTGGGGGGACCATAGGAGATGCTGGGTATCGAACCCGGGTCAGCCATGTGCAAGCAAATGCCCTACGCACTGTGCTATCGCTCCAGCCCACATATTTCTGTTGATGACCAACTTTTCCGCACAAGGGAACACAGTGTCTCCGCCCCTGCTGTGTCTTGTGTCTTTATCATTCAGCTGTACCTCGGGACTGTTGTTTGGTTGCTGGTTTTGCCTTGTTTTCTTAAGCCACTCTTCCTGGCATGGGGCTGACCCTCCCTAGCCTCTCTTCCTCTGGCATTTTCTGTACCCTTTACCCATGGCTCTGCTTTGAAGGTGAGTGTGGGATGTTTCCAATGAGTGGATGAAGGCAAACATACTCTCCCAGCCCCCCCCCCCCCCGCCCCTGTTATTTGTCGGGTGATGGCGTGGGAGGTTTCCTAAGGTAAGAATCTGAATTGATGGAGGCACGACATCAACTCCAGCCCCTTTCATTTGGAACCTTCTTCTCCTAGATGTGAACAGCTGGCTGGTGACATTTGGCTTCCATCTGCACAATGCTATTCCTGGATTCCCCGTCCCCAAATTCGACTTAACAGAGCCTTCTTACGAGCTCGTGAAGACGCAGCAGTGGGATGACGTGCCGGTAAGAACCACAGAGCGACGGGGGCGGGGAGGGCGCTGGCCTCGCACGCAGCCGACACTGGTTCAGATTTCGGCAGCCATATGGCTCCCCCAGCACCTCCAGGATTAATTCCAGAGTACAGAGTCAGGAGTAACCCCTGAGTGTGACCGGGTATGGCCCCCAAACCAATCCCCCACCCCAAAGAAAAGAACAGTGTTTGACTCATTGAGGGACTGTTTCCCTCTGCACAGCCACAAACCGGTTCTGTGAAATAAGCTGGTTTAGCGATGCTAATAAAAGCAGAGACATGGGTAAAAGGTAATAAAATGCAGAAGCTCCTTTTTAATATATATATAATTTCTACAAAGACCACAAACCTCCCCTATATGAAAGCTTTTTGAGGGGGGCTGAGGGCATACCTAGTCGTGCTCAGGGGACCATGTACAGGGATGGAACCTGGGGCGGTCACATACTGGGCAAGCCCATTATCCACCGTACTTAATATCTCTGGCCCTGAAAGACCCAAAGACAAAATCAACCGGAGCATGAGGGATCAGTGTTTTAAATTAGCAGCCCACTAGGTGCCTCTGGGTTCAGAGCTTTCCAAATAAGAACAGTGTCTGCTGGTTAGCGACTGAAGAGGAAGTGTCCCCCTGGCAGTGCTGGCCAAACAGCCAAAGGCGGGGGGAGCTCTGGCCATGCATGCAGCCAATCAGATTCAATCCTCAGCATCCCATATGGTCCCCTGAGCACTGCCAGGAGTAATTCCTGTATGCAGAGTCAGGAGTGGCCCCAAAACAACAACAAAAAAAAAACTAATTTTTTTTTTATAAAAAAGACATCAGAAGAGGGAAAATGAATAAATACATCACCAAAGCAATACATACGTACATACATATGTATGTGCTGCATAATATATAATTTTATATAATATATTGTATGATTTATATAATTATACATTATTTTATTGCAATTATATATAATTTATATAATTACATATCATAAAATGGCAGCTTTCATGGGGCCGTTTCTCATATATATAAAATGGATATATTTCCCATATATTCCATTTTTAGACAGCGGTGATTTTAATTGCCACCATTCAGAGATTGGAATTGGGGTGTGCACTGAACGCCAGAGTTTCTAGCTTAAAGCAAGAATAATTAAAGATCAGGAAACTGGGTTACCCCGTAATGATAAGGAGCCAGCGAGGAGTGTCTTAGATTAATCTGCCCCTAGAGCAGCTTCCGATCATTCCAAGTCAGCTGAGACGTATATATACTTGCACAGGATCTGCTTAAGGTATACTTCACGTCACAGCGGCCCCTCTTTCAGGTGTCACCTTTGCATGTAAAAGCAGAACCCCTCATCATTTTTGGTTATTTTGTTTTTTTTTTTTAAGGAGGGGGAAGGGAACCTTTTTCTTACAGTTCTGAAGTGCCTGGGAGATGCTGAGCATTTCTTAATGCGCCTGGGCCAGCGCGTCCTGCCGGTGGGCCGGTTCCCTCCTCTCTGAAAAACACTTAAGTCTCTCTCTTTGCACAGGCCTTGCCAACTTCTTCTTCCAGCCTTTTAAATATGGTTCCGATTCTCTGCGGAGAGCGGCGCGCCATCAGGAGCGCAGAGGGGAGCCGCGCGCCAAGACTTTCTGCCCGGGGTGCAGAAAAACAAATGTTTCTTTCACTGCTGCAAATGAAACAGATGTTTCCCGTTCGGGAGACACTGGCCAGACAAACATCTGGCAGCAGGAGAAATGGGCTGCGTTGAGACGCACGGCCCCGCCCACACCCCAATTGCCAACCTCAGTGGCCCCCAGTTGAGGAAAAAAAGCAATGTTTGCCCTAGTCGTGGATCCGCACTGCCCTCCCGGGTGCGGCCCGTGCCCACTTGAGCCCCGCAGTTGCACTCGCTTGTTGGCCCGCCCCCCTACCCTGGGAAACCATTGGTAATTGACCTGCACCAAAGCCCATGAAGTGGAGCATGCTGTGTGCACCCTGAATCCTCAGTGCTTTGTGGGTGAAGGGCCCCATCCGCCGCTCGCTCTCCCAGAACGGGTGGGCACGATGGATGGGGATGGGGAACGGAGAACATTCAACACTGAAAGCAAAAAGAGAAAAGGCATTACTGTGTGCCCACATCAGAATTGGCAGGAGGGGGTAGGGGGAGGGACAGCTCTTGGCTAATTATGGGAGTTATGACTGCCACCTCCCCAACCCCCATTTCCAAACACTTTGGGGTCAGCTTGAGAATGCTTGAGTGCATTGCTCTAACTGGGGCTTTTTATTTAGGCTTTTTGGGTCACCCTCAGCGAAGCTCAGGAGTTACTCCTGGCTCTACACTCAGGGATTACTCCTGACGGTGTTCTGGGGGACCCTACAGGATGCCGGGGATGGAGCTGGGTTGGCGGCATGCAAGGCAAAGGCCCTACCCAGGACTTTTCCTTTTTTAAAATCCTTTTTCTCTGGTAAAGAACCAAGGGAGAGAGGGCAGAAGCCAGAACAATAACAGTAAAGTGGGTCAGGGCACTTGCCCTGCCTGTGGCTAACCCTTGTTCCATCCCCAGCAACCGCCGCCTAGAGTGATTCCCAGCGTGCAGAGCCAGGAGTGAGCCCTGAGCACCAGGGGGGGGTGACCCCAAAACGAAATTTAAAAAAAAATCATCCCAACGGCCGGAGCTATAGTACAGTGGGTAGGGTGTTTGCCTTGCACTAGGCCGACCTGAGATGGTCCCCCAAGCACCGCCAGGAGTAATTCCTGAGTGCAGAGCCAGGAGTAACCCTTGAGCATCGCCAGGTGTGACCCAAAAAGAGAAAGAAAAAAAAAAACCACGCGGGGTTTAAACGAAGGCCTCGGAGCTCCCCTCACCCAAGCCCGTGCGCCCTGGCCGTCAGTGGGGAGGGCAGAGAGCGGGAGCACGGCCGGGCCCTCACCCCTCATGTGCTTTGCCTTCACAGCCCATCTTTGGAGTGCAGCAGCAGGTGGCCCGCCAGGCCAAGGCCTTCCTGTCCCTGGGGAGGATGGCCGAGGTGCAGGTGAGCCGACGCAAGGGCGGCGGCGCCCCGTCGTGGCTGTGGTTCGCCACGGTCAAGTCGCTCATCGGCAAGGGCGTCATGCTGGCCGTGAGCCAGGGCCGCGTGCAGACCAACGTGCTCAACATCGCCAGCGAGGACTGCATCAAGGTGGCGGCCGTGCTCAACAACGCCTTCTACCTGGAGAACCTGCACTTCACCATCGAGGGCAAGGACACGCACTACTTCATCAAGACCAGCACGCCGGAGAGCGACCTGGGCGCGCTGCGGCTGACGAGCGGCCGCAAGGCGCTGGAGAACGGCATCAACGTCACCGTGTCGCAGTCCACCACGGTGGTCAACGGCAGGACTCGCAGGTTCGCCGACGTGGAGATGCAGTTCGGCGCGCTGGCGCTGCACGTGCGCTACGGGATGACGCTGGACGAGGAGAAGGCGCGCATCCTGGAGCAGGCGCGCCAGCGCGCGCTCGCCCGGGCCTGGGCGCGCGAGCAGCAGCGCGTGCGCGACGGCGAGGAGGGCGCGCGCCTCTGGACCGAGGGCGAGAAGCGGCAGCTGCTGAGCGCCGGCAAGGTGCAGGGCTACGACGGGTACTACGTACTCTCGGTGGAGCAGTACCCCGAGCTGGCCGACAGCGCCAACAACATCCAGTTCCTGCGGCAGAGCGAGATCGGCAAGAGGTAACCAAGCCCCCCTCCAGGGAGCTCTCCAGGGAGGATGCTCCCCACCCCACCCCACCCCCCATGCACTCCGCCTCCCAGCTGGAAGGGGGTCGGTCGGTCGGAGGAGGCGCGCGCCCGCCCCTGCAGCAGATGTGTTTGACGGCACAATCCAGATCGGACTCTTGGAGCTCCCCCACCCCTAAAGAGCCTGCCAGGAGAAGGATAACTGCTAGGAAAACCAGACAACACACACACACACACACACACACAAACACACAGGATAGTAACAGTCAAAGTAATAAAACTCTTTTCTGAATGACCTTAAAGGTGATGGCTTTAAAGAATTTGTTTACATGTGTATATCGCTGCACTCAGTCGGACTAAAATCAATGGGAAAAAAAACAAAAGAAAAAAAAGGGGTCTCGACCTTTTTTTTTCTTCTTCTTCTTGGGTTTTGTTTGTTTGTTTTGCGCTTCGGTCCAATCAGCTCCTTCCAGGCGCCTTGGATGTGAGGCTCCTGCGCTCAGACAGCAGTTGGAGGTGCCAAGTGGGACTCAGAGCGTCGCTTGTAGGATGTAGTCTAGGTCTGTCGCGATGCAGAAACGTGGGGCCACAGGAGCAGTTGGTCAACGACCCCGACATGGCACCCACTGCTGCTTTGTGAAAGGACTTCGCCGCCGCAACTGACTTCGCTCCTGCGGGGGGGATTTCGGAACGGATTTTAACCATGCTCAAAAAGATTAAAAAAAAAAAAAAAAGAAAACACACAAAAACAAAACGTGGTTTGCCTTGGGGAAAACACAACGAAACAAAACGGAAACACACACACACAAAAAAAAACTGGCAACCAGAATCCTTGTCACTGATAAGCAAAGGAGACCCTGATTTTTTTGTAAATTATGTGAGACAAGTTGTTTATGGATTTTTATATGAATTACAATTTACTGTACATCAAATATTAGTCTCAGAGGAGTTAATTTATGTAAAGTGTTTAAAAAGTTTATACTTAAAAATAAAATGATAAAAACATGTGAACCGTGTGATTTTTTTAAAAAACAAAAAGGATTGCACCTTTTGTTATCTGTTATAGCTGTACAGTATAAATTATTATATTGTAGAGATATAACGACTTATGCCTATAATGTCCAGAAGTGTTAATATTTTTGTATTAGGTTGAAAACAAATGTGCAACTTTCTATCACGAGATGGATAGGACCGTGCAATCCTAAATGGATGGCTAATCCGACAACTTGCTCCTTTCTCTTACTTTTTCAAGTACCCTGGCCTGACCTTTTGAGTAATCCAAGGCTGGAGGGATGTAAGGGGGACAGGGGTGCTGGAGGGGAGCTCTGGCCCCACCATTTGCCCTGAAAGTCGATGGGGGTCAGGGGTGGATATTCATAACCAGAGGTTTTCACTATCCCTGGAGCTCCATTCCAGATCACCGCAGATGCTCGGGAAGCATTTGGGATGTAGTCAAGGTCTCCTGAGACCCAGAAAAGAGCCGAAACCGAGCCGTGGCAAGCCACCAAACCGAAGACAGCCAGGTCCACTCGCTTCTCTTGGGAGAAGGACCAAACAAAAGGGGGGATGGAGGGGTGGAGACAGAAAGCTCCTGTAAGCCCACCCAACCCAACCATCTTGGGAGGTGCTTTGGATGGCAGTCTCTGCGCTGCCTCGGGTGGCAATGCCAGCCATGTGCCCCTGGCAGGCATGTCGCCAGTGCTCAGGCACTCAATTCAGCCCCCAAAATATTTTTTAGAAAAGATTTCTCAGTTCATTGAGCTAGAGTACCCACAGTTTTCCTCTCTGTATAATGGTGATCCAATATAGCAAGTGAACATGTCAATATAAAGGTTCGAGTGATGTATTGAAAATAATTTTCTAACTGCTTTGTACGTATCACATACTCTAAATTGCACAGTAGGCGTGTTTATTAAACAGATTGGCTGGGAAAGTTTTGAAATAGCTACTGAATTTACCAGTGTCAGTGCTATTACTGTCTTTGTGTATTTGGTAGAACTTACCGAAGTAATTACTCTTCTAATGAATGCTGATATTTTATTAGAATGAAAGCACAGATTAGCATTAATATTTTTTATCCTGGAAATCCTCTGGCGAATATTACAAACCCCAAATTTAGAAAAAAATATGCGATTTCAAACCACATTACGACACATGGCTGTTTTTCACGTTTCCTTTTTTAACTGTTAACTTAGGTGTTTTCGGGTCCTGTGGAATGGATTTTCTGCGGGGCTGTATTTAGCATGCTGTAAGTACTTTTGGTTGAAATAGGCTCTGAGTCTAAAGGCTCAGAAATGTTTCTGATGTACTTGACCATGAAACGCTTGTACCACAGGACAGAAGCGAAACCATAAGCTGACCCTCATCTCTGCCTGGACCGACCTTCTCACTGGCACCGATAAATAACAGATTTGGAGCCTCTCCTGGTGCTTATTTTAGATGAAGTCAAATCAATCCGATTAGTGTCTTGTTAGTAGGTATAATGCGCCTATTTCTAAAAAGAAAAAAAATTTAAAAAACGACTGATGATCTGGACATGCTTTTACAAGAAATAGTGGCCATGGGGAACACGTAAACAAGACCTTTTTCTAAGAGGGGGGAGGGAAACTATCAGATAATTAGCTTACAAAAAAAATTGATATTCAAAGTATTTTAGGCAAAGCCAGTCAAAATGCTTTCATGATATTTTGAGATGTAAATTTTGTCTGATTTGTATTGCTCTTTTCATTTGCCTTCTTAACTTTCTATGTGACCTGAATTTTCCATAACTTGATGACTATAGACTGCATCTAGGCATTCCAATAAAAGCCAAACCAATGTGTGTGTTTATATATATATTTTTTGTCTCCTCTTGGGCTAGCTTTTCTGTTTCCAGTACAAGCGTTCTCGGGTGGGGTCAAAGATGCGGGGAGGCGGGGGGGAGGGGACATCCGTGGACAGCCCAGTTGGTCCCCGCTTTTTTTTTTCCCATGGACCAGACCGCTACCTCAGCCAGGCACGCAATTCACAGGGGCTGCTCCCGTGGCCCTACTTTGTACAATAATGCCAAACACCCCCCCCCCTCCCCATCACGCCGAACATTATCCCTGTAAAGAAGAGTTTTAAAAAGGAGGGAAGTGGGGGAGAGACTGCCCATTCCCACTCATTCCAGTGATCCTGGCAATAACACCTAATTAAAACACTTGATTAGAATAATCAGTTTGGGCTGAAAGGCTCCAACCTCCTGGAGATGCCAAATCTCCATATAGACCAGCTGATTAGGGGCTGCTGAGTTAAGCAGTTCTGGACTGGCAGCCCAGGGCTTGGGTCTGAGAGGGGAAAAGCAGGCTCCATCACTTTTTTTTTTTTTGGCCTGGAGAACATGTTGATCCAACAAGAATTAGGTCGCTCCACTTGGCAAACTGGTCCTTCTTTTTTTTTTTCCTCCTCAAATTAACAGGTTTCACTTGCTCAACCCAGGAAATGCTGCAAACTCTGCCCTGCATCTTCTCCGACCCTTCTTTCTTAAGCAATGTCAGAAGGGATGCAGAAACAGTAATAGCATAAGAAGAAAAGTATTTTCCGAAAGAAGAATTTCCCAGAAGTGGGCCACGGGTCCCAATGGAATTTACATGCAGGCAAAGAGTGCCAACACCTCCCATCACATAAGGCTAACCCCTGAGTATAAGCACCCCAAATCCACCCCAGTCTCCCAAGGGCTGCAAGAGAATTCTAGGGTCGTGGAGGTTGCTCAGTGGTCAGGGCCACATGGTTGAGCCCAGGGAACAGCATGCCACACTCCCTTCCCTAAAGCACTGTCAGATTTGCCCTGGAAGACCCCCACCTCCCGCAGCATCACCAGGTCGAGTGCTGAACTATCCGGTAAGCCAGGCTCACAGGAACCCCCCCAAATTCTGCTCCTGGATCCCTAGCTTTCATGGCAGCTTTCATCTCTCCTTCCATCCTGGCCTTCTCCCACACAAGCCTGTTCCTCCCACCTGCTCCAGTCAGCTCGGGGAAGAGCTTAGCAGCGGTGTCTTAGGGAAAGCTGGGGTCCCCCAGGTGGAATTACACCTATGCTGCACCCTGCAGCCTGAAGCTCCGCCCATCCCTGGGATGCAGCAAGGTCCAAGGTCCTAAGGAGTGTCAGGGAAGCATGTTTTTCTAATTCCATGCAAATGACACAAGAGGGCATGCAGAGCCCTCCAGAACAGAGCCCCGTCTCCTGCCCACCCACCCAGGACTGGACTGTTTGGGGTCACTCCTTTAGCTCCCCATTCCTAGAGGCTGGCCGTGGTCTTCACTCTCATGGGGGATGTAAAGCTCCCAGCATGATCTGAGGCTTAGCTGCTCCTTCTGCCCCCTGCAGGCCCCCCTACCCCGCCCCTGGCCCTGGTGCCCGTGGGGCATTTCTAGAAGACTAGCAGAGAGGCCATGTGTGGGTATATCTGCACTGTGGCCTTCGTGGTGTCCCCAGAGCTGCCCCTGCCCTGGGCAGATGACCCAGCCCCAAAGGAAAGCAGTTGGAACTGTCACAGGGACCCACGTTCCCCGCAGTGAGCGAAGCCAGGCAGGAGCCCTGCGGAGGGTCTTACCTTCTTCTACAGAACCTCCTTGACCTGCCGCCCACCAGGGCCCTGGCCAGTCGTGGTCTCTCCAAGGCAGCTCATGATTGATACCGTGGAGGCAGAGAGAGGCCACTTTCTCAGTGCCTTAAAACTCTGTGGTGGAAACGCCGTTTCTGGAGTCCCGGACATAAGACAATTGGCAGGAATTTAGCCGACAAGCCCAAATTCTCCTGGGAACCTCCCAGCTGGACCGTGAGCCCCAGAGCAGTGCAGGGAAGGCGCCCACCCTACCCCCACCTGCTGACACGCGGCTGCCAACCCACAGGACTTTAAGATCCTCACTAGGGACATACCACAGGAAGGTCCGAACCTTGCCCTGTAGGCAGCTGGCCCCCATCTCACATAGGAACTCCCCACACTGCTGTGAGTGACCCCTGAACACAAGCCAAGAATAGCTCCTGAGCACTGTAAGGTGTGAGCCAACCACCCCCCAGAAAGAATAGCTCCTGAGAACTGTAGGGTGTGAACCAACCACCCACCCCCCCAACAATAACTCCTGAGCACTGTAGGGTGTAAAACAACCACCCTCCCAACAAAAGCTCCTGAGCAATGTAGGGTGTAAAACAACCACCCTCCCAATAAGAATAGCTCCTGAGCACTGTAAGGTGTGAACTAACCAACCTCCCCAACAATAGCTCCTGAGCACTGTAGGGTATGAACCCCCACCAAAATCCTCATTTCAGCTATAACATTCCTAAGTGTGAATTGTGAACACACACCAAAAAAAAAGGCGGTGTGAAACAATCTCAGAGGGGCATTGCATATTTATGTGTGTGTGTATATATGTATGTATACACACACACACACACACACACATATATAAGCACACAAGGCTCAACCTGTGACAACATGTTAGTAATCTCTTATGCTGTAGCTTAATGACTCCGAGGTGAGATACAACAATCTTCACACTTTCCTCTAAGGAAAACTTTTAGAAGATTATTCATAACAAAGCAATACAAAATAAATTATTTAGGATCTACCTTTGGGGCAGGCTTGGGGGGGTGGTAAAATTCAATCCCCATCATCACATAGGGCCCCTCCCCCCGAGCCCTACAAGCAATAAGCCATGAGCACCACAGGGTGTGACCCCCAAAAAGTAAAAAAGAGGGTGAGGGGAAAGGCAGGTGTGGGTTCATTCTTGAGATTCCAGCAGGACAGGTTCCCTCCCAAACACAAAGACCAAGAATGGGGTGCCCGTGAGGGGGCAACTGGCATCTCTCTCCCAGCAATCCTCTATGGGGTGGGGGGCTGCCCTCCTGCCTTGGCCTTGCTGCCCTTTCCAAGACTCTGGCTCCTGCGGGAATAAACCAGCCCCCCACAACCCGAGGAGGCCGGGTGGGCAGGGCCTGGCCGGTCCAGCAGCTGTGGGGAAGCGGCCGGGTCCCATCGGGACGGAC